CCAGATTAACGGAGCCTGAGACCAGATTAACGGAGCCTGAGACCAGATTAACGGAGCCTGAGACCAGATTAACGGAGGCGGAGCCTGAGACCAGTTTAACAGAGGCAGAGCCTGGGACCAGTTTTCAGCCTGACAGGCTCACGGCTCGCTGGCGCCCCCATCAGTTCATCCTGGGACCGTTTGGACTTGAACGTGGCTCGGTGCCTCGATGTTCTGGATTCTCAGGAAGATGTGATGCAGGTCAGAATTTATTTTTATTTAAAATTGTATAAAAAGGTGAAGAAAAATGTAAATTTATAAACTGAAGTTTTGCACAGAATTTATGACTTTTGGGAAACTTGGTTCTGAAATTATTAACAAAATTTCAGACAAAAATATCCAAGTCCCAAAAATAAATCTAAAAATATAAATGAACAAACTGAAGATTTGGACAAATTGGATGTTTTCAGTCTTACCACAGGACGAGATTAGGAGCAGATAATCCAGATTATTGGCCTCTGAAGGTCGCAGCAGTTTTTGTCACCGTCTTTATTTCTGTGTGAATCAAGGAGCTGAAAAAATGTATTTTGGAAAAGGAACCAAACTGAGAGCAGAGATCGGTAAGAGGTCCTGATCGAAGCTGAACTTTCGCTCATTTCAGATTTAATGATTATTTTTCTCAGGTTTATAGATATTTGATGAACAGATTAGAAACAAAGAATAAAATTAAAGCAGAACTGAGAAAAGAGGATGATATGAAACGAGGCGGCAGGTTGAACACAGCAGCAGTTTGTGCCTCAGTCTGAGTCGATGTGTGAATCAGGGAGGAAACTACAGGATCCACTTTGGACCAGGAACCAAACTGTCTGTAGAACCAGGTGGGACCAGATTATTTAACGTCTGCAGAATTAATTTAGTCCTTGTTTTGTTCATCTTCTGAGTTTTTAACGCGTTAATAATGGAAACTAAACTATCAGCAGCAGAAGATGAAAATCTGATTTTCCAGTAATAAACATCATAATTATGATTAAAGTTGAGTTTAAATAAAACACGGAACCGGATCAGTTCTGGTTCAGTCGGTTCCCTCAGCACAGGAACCAAACTCTGCACTGAAGCTGGTGAGACAAACATTTCATCATTTCAGATTATTAATTATTTTAGTTTCTGCAGATGATCGAAGCTTTTAATGAGACAAAAGCAGAAACTGATCAGCTGGATATAAAATCCATGTTTCATCGTTTTAATCAAAGTAATCAGAGCAGAAAAACCGAAAATCCAAAACATTTATGAATTATTACAAAATAAATCCAAAACATTTCGATGATTTAAATAAAATTCTAGTTGAAAAAAAAAATAAAATTTCATGATGATTGAAATATTTCTCTTTTTTGGACCCCCCCCTCCCCCCTCCGGTCGGAACCGGACCGGTTGTAGAACCGGACCGGTTCTGACTGAGACCTTCGCAGTTTGTCCATCTGGGTTCAGATCAGACCCAGTTTGGCATAAAAACCTGACAGACAGAGAGGAAAACAGCAGAATCCAGAAGAAACCGCAGCTTCAGAACCGGGTTCAGAACCGGGTTCAGAACCGGGTTCAGAACCGTCAGCTCAGATCCCAGCTGGGCTCCACTGGTTCCCAGTCCGGACTGGTTTTTGCTGGGCCGTGCGTCTCGGTGGGACCGCTCAGGGTCGGTACAGAACCGTTTTCGGAGACAGAACCAGAGTGTTTGTTCAGAACCGGATTCAGAACCGGATTCAGAACCGTGAGTAAAACCAGCCCGTAAATGATTCTGTTATTCTGAGTTTGTTGATTTAAACCTGAAGTCGGTTTTTATAAATTTATCATCAGTTAAATGATCCAGCAGAAAACATTCATTATTTCTGTTTTGAACTTTCCTGCGTTTCCAGACTTTTAGTCTCTGTCAGATTATTATTTACTGGATTCAAGTGAAAAACCAACAAAGTTTTTAATCTGATGAAGTTTTTAATCTGATGAAGTTTTTAATCTGACGAAGTTTTTAATCTGACGAAGTTTTTAATCTGATGACGTTTTTGCTGAGCTGAGAGTCGCAGTGCGACAGGAAACACAGAGAAGTTGAACTTTGGGTCTGGAGTTCGGCTCCTGGTTCAGAACGGTGAGAAAAACCTTTAAACAGAAATTCATCCAACCAGCAGAAACTAAACTGACAGATTTCAGGTTTTATTTAAATGATCAATAATCAGAAATGATCCAAACCTGGAGCACAAAATATTTAAATTGTTTTAGTTCATTTATAACTAAATTATGAGGATTAAGAACCATCAGAACCACCACGGGTCGGTAGAACCCGTTAAATCAGACCCGATTCTGGTCCTGGTTCTGGTTCTGGTCCTAGTCCTGGTCCTGGTTCTGGTTCTGGTCTCAGTCACGGTGTGAAGGGAACCGCTGGCAGGCTGCTGTTTGCTGCAGGAACCCGACTCATCGTTGGTTCAGGTCGGTTCAGGTCCAAAATGACCCGATCCAGTTCTGATAACTCCTGGTTCTGGTTCAGGTTCTGGAACAAAACAACGGGTCAGATTCAGTTTAATGAATAAAAATAAATCAGAATATTAAAAATACAGAGAAATTCATCAAACTGCGGGAAGTTGAACCAGAACCAGGACCAGAACCAGGACCAGGACTAGAACCAGAACCAGGACTAGAACCAGGACCAGAACCAGGACTAGAACCAGTACAGAACCAGAACCAGGACCAGAACCGGATCATCTTCAGGTTTCAGAAACAAGTTTTCAGATATTTAAAGTTTTTTTTTTCCTCTGGAAAAATGTGGAGAAAAACAAAATATTTTCAGAAAAACTGAATTTTTCTGTGAATTTAGATTTTATGAAACTGAAATGATCAAAGTTCTGGAGCGTTTGGACCCGGTCCGTTTTTGTTCTGCTGTTTCCTGGTGTGTGAATTCTGGTTCTGCTTACGGGAAACTGCTGTTTGGACCCGGAACCCGACTCACCGTTCAGAACCGTAAGTTCTGTTCTGGACTCAGAACATTTTGATCCCATTATTTCAGGGACCGGTTCTGATCTGGGACCGGTTCTGATCTGGGACCGGTTCCGTTGCTTCAGAACCTCTGGATGGACTGAGTCACTCTGAGGCTCTTTGGGTTTAAAGACAAGAAAATAAATTTATTATTATCCAAACGGTTCTGGTCCTGGTCCTGGTTCTGGTTCTGGGTTTCGGGTCGGCCGTCTCTCACTGTGTGACAAGAGGAAACGACAAGATGATCTTTGCAGACGGAGTTCTGCTCCGAGTCCAACCGGGTCAGAACTTTATTTGAATTTCCAGTAAAATCAGCCGAGCTGGTTCTGGTCCTGGTTCTGGTCCTGGTTCTGGTTCTGGTCCTGGTTGTGGTTCTGGTCGGATGGACCGGGCTGCTCTGTCAGTCTGGTTCTGAACCCGATCAGAACCTGGGTTTGTTGGACCTATTTATGAGCAGAAACCGTTTTGCTGGTTCTGGTTCTGGTTCTGGTTCCGGACTGAGGTCCAGTTAAGGTTCTGGTTCTGACAGAATTTGGGTTTTCTGTCTGAAAAATGAACCGGTTCCGACTTTGTTCTCCTCTAGAACCTGCTGTCGGAACCGGCCCGTTTGAGCCCGCTTTGGGTTTTCAGCTTCTCTGATAGGCAGAACCAGAACCGACCCGGTCAGGTGGGAGAACTGGTTTGGGTTTCTGTGTGTGGTTCTGGTCGGGTCCGGTTTGGACCTGGAGCTGAACTCACTGTGAGGCAGTGAGAGTTCAGTTCACCAGGTTCTGTTGGCGGTTCTGGAGCAACATGGACAGTTTCAGAACCAGGAGAACCGGGCCTTTCATCTTGGAGTCGATTACATTCAGATTTTCTTTCCGGTTCTGAATCAGCTGCTGTTTGGACCGGAACCAGAGGCCCGGTTTGGCCCAGCAGTTTTTGTTCTGAAGCTTCTTGTTGTGTGAAATCTGGAGGCGTCGATAAAGTTCTGTTCGGTTCTGGAACCCAGCTGAGCGTCGGGTCCAGTGAGTCTCATCTGTTCATGTTCTAACAGAACCTCTGGACCGGGTCCAGGTTTAGCAGCAGGACCGGTTCTGATCCGGTTCCCGGTTCTGAAGCTTTAGATTCTGATGCTGCAGCAGAAACATTTTAATCTGAAAACGTTTTCAGATTAAAATTTAGATTTTATTTTAGGAAAATTCAGATAAAATTCCCAGAAAGTTTCATGAATGGCAAACCCAGTTTGGACCAGAACCAGTTTGGACCAGAACCAGTTTGACCAGAACCAGTTTGGACCAGAACCAGTTTGGACCAGAACCAGTTTGGACCAGAACCAGTTTGGACCAGAACCAGTTTGGACCAGTAAGTTCTGCTTCACCAGACTGGAAACAATCTGAACGTTTTTATCTGAATTAATCTAAATATGAAGCTGAAGTTTTATTGGAAATCAAGAAGAAAAGAAATTTAAACTAAAAAACAAAAAAAGTTCCAGTAAAAAATAAACCAGAAAAATCAAAGTAAAATTTTTAATCCTGGATTATTTAAACTATTTTATCTTAGATTAAAATCCTAATCTAATCTGGTCGTCGTGTTTCTGAGTTTCTGTCCTGAAGCTTCATGATGTGTGACAACTGGAGCGCAGAAGGTTCTGTTTGGACCCGGAACCAGTTTAACCATCAAAACCAGTAAGAGATCAGAAAACAGGAAGTTAAAGATTAAAATGAATCAAAAAATGATCAAAACGCTGAAATATTAAACAAAATGGTGAGAAATGAGAACAGAAGCCAGGAGGTTCTGGTTCTGGTCCTGGTTCTGGTCCTGGTTCTGGTTCAGAAACCAGGACCAGAAAATAGAAATGAACAAAAATCTGAATCTGTAAACTTTTAATCTGAATTAAATTCAGAATTTAATCTGGATTATTATGAATTTAATCTGACTGGCTGTGTGACGGACGGAGGCCTCCAGAAAACCATGTTTGGAACTGGAACCAGTTTAACCAGTGAAACCAGTAAGAGACGAAAAACCTTTAAAGAAAATAAAATCAGCTGAAGGATTAAAAACAATAAATTATGTTTTATTGTTGCCATAAATTTAAAGTTTAACTGTAAAAATAACGTAGAAATTAAATGTCTTTATTGTAAAATAATAATTTTAAATTTGATTTAATTTAATGAAATAAAAACATAAAACTTTTATTTTTATAAATGTTATGGAAACAATTTTACTGAAATATAATCAAAGTTTCAAACTATATTAAAGTTTTCGTCATGAATCTTCCTGCTGTGTGACTGGAGGAAACCAGAAGGTTCTGTTTGGACCTGGAACCAGTTTAACCATCAGAACCAGTAAGAGACGAAAACCAGTAAGATCAGCTGAAGGATTAAAGATCAGAAAT